TTTTTTCCTTGTCTTGTTCTCAGTAAAACTCAAAGGTAGAAAAGGTATTTGAGGCAAGCAGTACCATTAGAAAAAGAAAAGGAGAAAAAAAAAAAAAAAGGAAAGAAATCAAAGTTGAAAAATGAAGCTGGTCCCCAGGGCCGAGGGCATTGAGGACAAAAAGAATAGTTGGCAGATTGAAATTAAAGTTAGTTCTCGTAAGGAGTCAAAGCACATTGCAGGCGTTCTTTCTCCTCCACTCATACTGAAAGATGCTAAACGTTGCTGTTACAGTCCTTGCCTTGTCATGGGTCAACTGTGTGACACAGACTGCCTCTTATCTCCTTTTTTTTTTTTTTTTTCCGATCGTTAATTACTGGCCTTAAAAGTACTGTTTTGGAAAGTAGGGGTAATTATGTTGTGCAACGTTTTTTGAGAAAAAAGAAGTGGGCCCTTGCTCGTTTCTCTGAACCTTAAGAGACTCTGCACATTGACGTTAATTGCTAACAAAGGACTATATCTTGGGATTAAACTTCTTTGAATCGTTACAGCCTTCAAGTATTATTTTGGATATATTCATTTTAATTAAGACTGATGAGCAACATCACCTTTTCTCAGACAAAGCTTCTTCAATTTTCTGTGGCTTGTGGTTTGTCATACTAGTTTCAAATCTGAGAAGGGGATCGAATGAGGAACATGTCACCAAGAGTCATCTATTAATAATAGGTGGCTGTTATAGTATGTTAATGAAACAGCAGTAACTTCTTTAGCAGGCTGTCAGCTGGAATCAGTGGATTTTACTGTCAACATGAAGGTCATTGTTAACATCTTCAAGCAAAAGTGGAATGTTACCTATTAGAGACACTTTAAAATTTTCCTTGAAATCGGGATGCGTTCAGCTGCTATATGCTTTTGAAGAGTGGCAAAAGGCAGAGAAATGTGCAGCTACTTTAAGGTAAAATAAGAAATCCTGTGGAAGTCTTTATTGCACTCAAATATTTACCATTTTTCATTTTTTAAAATTGCAAGAGGTTATAGCTGTGTAAGAGTAGGTCCTTCTTGATCTTTCTAGGTCAAGAGCAGCAGGAAAAATATAAAACTTTTAGTAGCACTGTAAAGGGATTTATTTACAAATGACACCAGTTCCTGACTTTTTCTTCTGGCACTGCAGGGGGAAGGAAACATGCTTGTAACCCATTTTACTCTGCTCAGTGAAGTGAGGTGCGTGTTCCCTGTGCCCCAAAGGTCCCCTTGGCTTTCATAGCAGTTTAACATGCTAGAAATGCAGGCTTAGAAAACAGGCTCTTATTTTTGTTTGAGGGACTGCTGTGTGCCTTCTTTTTTTTATTATTTACTTAACTGGCAGTACATATAGTAGAGGTTTAAAGGACAAGTTTATTGTGAGAAATTGCTGTCCCTGGGTTGAAAGCCTCAGTGGCTGGGGGAGGGGAGGAGGATGTATGTCTGCCTCTGTATAATGGTGGTGGATGCCCGCAAGAGGTCACCTTTCAAGCCAGTGTTCGGGTTTTTTTCGCCTTTTTTTTTTTTTTTTTTATTCGGACTAGGATCTTGCATTTATATAATGTAGCGTGGCATCTATATTTTAATAGTGTGGTCATATGAAGCAGTTTCTTAATTTTGGGGCTTGGTGGTCTGCCCCTGTAGTAAGTGAATTAAATTTGTATGGTTGCTAACTTAAACTGTCCTTGTTATAATGTTTTAATTACAAAAATAGTTTATGCTTCAGAAGGAGAAAAAATATAGCAACTCTAATAAGGGCACTGATTGCAAGATCAGACTTCAGGAGACCTGCCAATTCTTCCCAGGAGTTCCAGAAAGTTTTTTTTTTTTTTTTTTAGTTTTGTTCTCAAAAACTAAGAATTTCTATATGCTAAGGTCTCTTGTTTGGGGGGAATTTTCTTCAGTTGACTATTTATAGTTTGCTATCTTATTTGGTCACTTTCTGATGAATCAAAATGGATCGCTCTCATTTGTCTTCTTCATCCACTGAAGGTGACCCAGAGGTATATAGATTTGCGTGTTTATAGTACAAGATCATAAAAAGCAGAAATGAAAAAAGACCTGATCAGACCATCCTTTTTGCCTGTTCAGCAGTATAGGTTTTGGTTCATTTAAGTAAGGTCTGATCTTAGAAACGAGCCTTTTGCCTCTGATGAAAATCATATTTTGAACTTAACTTTTGCAAGGCCGTATTTGCTAATTAACGGATAAGAGTGAGTAAAGAGGAAAATAGGGATGTTGAATATTCAAATAATCCCTATACAAAAATAACCCTGCAGCCCCCAAATGCATCTTTTATAAAATATAAGCCATGTGTTTATCTTATTTTTCTGAATAACAAGGTTTTCAGAAGACATAATGATCGTAGATTAGTACAGCCTTTCTCTTTGCTCTAAAATTGTCACAAGTTCTTGTGAATAACTCGTTTGCCATTTATGTTTTTCTAAGTTGTTTCTGCTGCTGTTTTGGTGTGATTTTTTAAATGTTTTTTCCCCACCTTTCCCTTTCCTACTCCAGCAGAATGGTGGCTGAGCCTAAAAATGCAACAGAAGAGCAAAGAAACATGCACCGCTTAGGACCGCATTAAAATTAAAGCATAACTTTGCCCTAAATGTGCTGCAGCATCTATGTGCAGTATCATATGACTGCTGTCTGATCCAAGTGCTGACTGGTTCCTGGTTTAACTAGGAGGTTAATAGCAATCACCCAATGTAGTTCTTTCAGCCAGTTAAATTATTGGCTATCAAAAGACTAAGAAAATATGAGGGCATTCAAAGGCCTTTTTTAATGCAGAAAACTCTTAATTTCATGCAGAGTTATTTATAAATAATTGAAAGTACATAAAGACTAATATTAAAAAAATTCCCAATTTGTAAACATGTATATTGCGTGATCAGAACTTCTGCCCAGAATACAAAACAAAAGAAGAAATAGATAAATGAAACCAAATGCTAAACCAGACCCCTTTTACACGTAATGCTGCTAAGTTTAAGCTTAGTGAGCTGTTGAGGACAGCAGAGTCCAAGGTGGTCTCTTAAATGAATGCCTTTGTATTAATAGGTACTGAATAGGTTTCACAAAAGCCTAAAGCTATCATTGGATTTTAAAATATTTCAAGTACTTTCTGAATAAATAGCGTCTGTAACTTTGCTAACACTGTTGATTGTTGCTGCCAAATAGTGCTTATAGGTCTTGAAAATATTTTTGTCAGATTTCAACTTTTTGACTTCTTAATAATATTATCATACTGTATTTTTGTGTGCGACAAGTACATTTGTTTTGTGATTACTTTATGTCACTGCAGCTGTGAAATTTCAATCCTGCGTGGTACAACTCTGAGTAAGATGCATTGTGCCTCTGAGAGCAAGGTACCTCCACGTTTCTGTCTGGTTTTTTTTCATTAAAGTGCAAACAAACAACTGTTGAAGACCGAGGCAGCGTAATTTTGTTAAGGTGAGTTAGGTATCACTTTTACTTGTTACCTCCATTAAGGCTGTGGTTAAAGGGAGGTGAATAAAATGTATGTATGCCAGGACTGGGAAATACTTTGTGAGGGGTGTAGCTTATAATTTCTTTTAAATTTTATGAAGCTGCAATACATAGCATGAATTTTATACTAGTTTTCTTGAGATCAAAGTTTAGAAGCTGAAGTACGCAATATGCAGTATTGTTTCCAATATATGCTAGCTATTTTATCCTGTGAAGTAGACTTGACTAACTTGAACACTTTAGGTGAAGAGCCTTTCCATTTCTCTGGGATGTTTTAATTTAGGAGCCAGAGAGTCAGCAGGATTCATCTTAGATACTTGTTATTATTTGTCTGGGAATTTTTACTTCTTTACTTCTTTAACTTCTTACTTTGTATGCTTGCCTGCCAAAATTGTGCTGCAAAGGGAAACTGTTTAATAATGTTTAACTGTTGAAAAAACAGATACAGCCCCTTATGCTCTTTGATTCATAGAAAGGAAATTAAAATAACCAGTACAAACAGTGATTCAGATTATTTTGTTTGCTTTACTTTAAAAAAAAAAAAAAAAGAAAGAAAAAAAAAAGCGAGTCAGGTGGTTTTTTTGGGGTGTCTTAATATTTGCAGCCGTGTTCTTGGCCTGGTGCTGCGCTGTGAAGATTGTTGGGGTTTTTTGTTGCATCTTTTTTGGTGCCATACCGTACTTCTGGTGGGTTTCTGATTAGGCCTTTAGTGTATTTTATGTGCACTCTCAAAACCCTGCCTAGAATTGAAAACAGACTATATCTATGTTCAGTCATTCTGTGCACAAATTCCTGAGGAGTGCTGGTGGATGGAGGGCTTTCAATAGCGCTACTAGGTGCTTAGAGCGTTTCAGATAGAAACTTAATGTTTCTGTAAAAGTAGGTATTAGTTCTGTGTTTTTCCTCCTGGAAGAATGAAGCCAACTGACAATAGCCTGCCCAAGACCGCACAGCGTGCTATTGTCTGAAATAGCGATTGCCTTTAGCTGCTAGGTAGCACTGTCTTGCGTATTAAGGTATGAAACTTAAAACAGTCTACCTCGTTGGTTTTGTGTGTGTTCAAATAAAATGTCTTTGCTGTGTATTCCCTCATGCTCTAATATGTTCTCTTTTCATGAGTAACTGAAACAATTTTGGAGATTTAGTTCTTATTCCTGGAGAGCATGAAGCGCACGCTTACCGGTGAAGCCGCTACTACCTTAGTGTCCAGCAAAAGGGACTGGTTTGCTTGCAGTTTTATGCATGTCTTTGCAAGATCAGCGCGGTCATTTCATAACAGACTCGGTATCAGAAACATTAAACGTCCAAATTCTGCTTTGCATGAATGTTCTCCCTTGTGTGAAATCAAGGTGGTTGCTCTAACCTGCTTGCCACCTCCACCCTGGGGAGATGGGGAACAGCTCACTGCTGGCTCAGGCCCCACTTGCTGCCTCCTCCTGTCCAACCCTCGAGAGCCAAAACCGAGCTGCTGCAGTGTCTGAGCCTGAGAGGAGGGAGGAGCCGAATTTCTGCTGTAGGTACCAGGGTGGAGAGGGGGTGAGTAGGAGGCATGTCTCTGTGTGTATGTTGTGATCCTGTGAAATGTTGTAATGCTGTTAACAGCAGATCACCAGTCGAGGCGTCTCAGAACAGATTTGGGCCTGCTACCTGCTGAAATGGAGCTGCATTGGTTTAACGAGTTGTGTATTTTATTGGAAGCAGTAATCCAGATCTCTTTCTGGCTCTGCAGCTGATTTGGGCTTAAATCCAATGCTGTGGCGCACGTGAACGAAAGTAGAAGTAATGCATTAGAAGTATTAGGAAGCTAATGTTCAAACAGTGCTTTGCAGATAAAGTATATACAGGTAAATATTCACAGAAGAAAGGGCTCGTAGGCACCTGAAGAGGTCATCTCACCTATTTTTTTTCTGCCCTAGGGCAAGAACAGCTCAATTCTAAACCCTTTCGAACGTGTGTAACCTTCTCTCTAAAAAGCTTTAACATTGATACTCAGCATGCTCTATAGGCAACTTATTCCAGCGTTTAACTATTCTAACTATTATGTTCAGCTTGAATTGTATGGAACAAGAGAAATCTACAGATTTCTCTGCATAGAATGATCCTCCCATCAGCTAAAATAACATATTTATGATGCAAGCTATATGTCTAGAGGAGCATATGTATGTAATATCACAAGAGGGAAAGATTAAAACATTGAGGAGTTGCAGAAGTTTCTCATGATGTGGCATTGGAAGGAAGCACTTGTGTTTTGAATTATGCTGGTTTTACAGGAATTTTTGTGAACTTCTTGAATTTCTTTTTAAAAAGCTGAAAGGATATATTTTCATCAAGAGTAGGACTTCAAACTTGTATAAGTTTGTGAGGATGGCCTTTCTCTACTACCCAAAAGGCTGCCTTAGATTTTATAGCACTCTTCTATAAAAGTGGAAACTGGAGTCCCAGTATCTTTTGGATAAATGACTATAGCATTATACATAAGGAAAAATCTAAGATTTCTGATTCTGGCTTATAGTTTGAGTATAACTTTATTCATAGTTTATTTCCTGCACATAATGATAAAAATGTTTACACATAATGATAATAGCATTACTACTGCTGTGACATGCTGAAATAATTGTGCTGTATGTGCAGTAGCTATGTAGCCTTTTTTTTTTTATCTTTAATATTGTACACATAGATGAAGTGGTATAGCTCCACATCACCATTGCTGTGATGGGAATTTAAGGGTTATGGACCCCTCGTCTATCCTAACCATCTATCCATCTAAACAGCTATCCTTGGTAGAAGTATCTAAATAGATTTTCACCTCACAGCTTGATGTAAAGTTAAGAGTTTATTAGTATTTACAAAAGAAAAAAAACTTACTTTCTTGAAAGATGTCTTCAAATTTAGATGATGTGGATGTATTTTGAAAAGCTAGTTCTAGGTCAATCTTATATAGGAGTTTACCATCATAGGTGTTATCCTAAGATTATCTGCAAGTTGCTTGAATCTGACAAGTCAAGTTGTCAGATAAAGTTGATTAGCATCTGTATCATGGGGACCACTGGGGGCAAAAAAACTGAGTGAGAGCCTACACGCGAATCTTGAGGAGATGGGGCGAAACATTCCTGAGCTGGACTTCAGAGGCTTCTTAAGCCAGCTGAGATGAACAGGGATGATGATTTTAGGAAAAATGAGATTCCTGATCCTTTTGCCCATGCAGCCAGGCAGATCCTGGTGCTGCCACAGGGGAGGGGATGAGCTGCTTCCTTTTGCTGACCATGTTGTATTTTGCTCATTCCAAGTATTCATCAAATATGTTGGGCTCGTGGCGAAGTTTATTTCCTGTTGTTGTTTGAGTTATGAGCAAACTTGTGTGCACGTGTCATAAAGAGTAAAATTATGCTGCGCTGCTGTATTTTGATCACTAGAACTTAAGTATATTGATGTGTAAACTGTTCTATTCCAAAGTAGTATAGCAGATTTTTATTGGATTCCTGCTTCATTTTTATTATCAAGTGAAGTATTGGTTTTTGTTCAGATGGGTTCTTGTTTCAAAAAAAAAAAAAAAAAGTTATACAAAACTCTCTCCAAATGTGTTCCCTCCCCCAAACTGTGTTGTTGACATATCAAAACTGTAAACGAGTCTCAACTGAATGTCTACACTGAAATGATTTCTCTGGAAAGCGTTTGGCATGCGTTGCAGTGACAGCACATGCCAGTCTAGTTCCTTAGCAGTCCGAGTCCCACGTGCAAGTTCAACGTTCTCATGGAGTCATTTGCAACCTTAAAACCCTTCCATGTCGTAGCCCCCAGATCCTTGCATGTTACAGCTTGTGTCTGTTCTCTTGTTCCGAGTGGGCCAGACACAAATCTCAGCAGTGGTTCTTCAGTCTGTCATGGTGCTTTGTGCCGTGCTGTAGCAACCTCTTCGTTTGTTTATTTTAAACCTCTATAGCGAGATTTCAAACTTACTTTGTTCCGCTGTCGACGTTGGTAGCGGCTGCTGCTCCTACATCAGGTTAGATGCATGCCGTGGAGACGAGGTTTGTGTACGGTTTTGATGGGACTTGTCAACTTGCAGTGCACCTAGCATAGCTGGGAAGCTTTCTTCAGAGACTGATTGGGTAGTCGTGTGCCCATTTAAGATTATATTCTCAGTGGTCATGTGAAATCCCTATTTATGTATTCTCTCTATTGTTGCTCTGTCAGAAGGATAAATTCCCTAGGCAAATCTAAATAGCTCTTACCACTTTCATAAGCAAAGCTAGAGCTCTGATAAATAGGAAGTGCAGAAAATGGTTAAAAAATAGTCCACAGCATTGCTTTGGGAGAACAAATCTCTGTGCGCAATGCCAACTCTATTGCCAACCTGAATCAAGTTTCTGAATTGCATTATTGGTTTTGCATAATTTACAGTTTACGTAATTGTGCAGGCAAGGCCTGAATATTAAGGTAGAAGAAGAAACCATTGGTATCAGAGACGGTAAGTGTTTTTCATTCCTTCCCCCCCCCCCCCGCCAAGCAAGTAAAAGAGAATAATTCTTCGTTGTAGTTCTGGCACCTTTGTGTTTCCAACTGTGCTGTGAACCTATGTTGCTTCTCCTCTGTCTAGAGAACGTATAATTTTGGGATTGTAACTGAAATAGATTCAATTTTATTTCATGAAAGGAGAGTCAGCTGCAAATTTGAAAATGTGTGTTGTCTTGGGTAGATCTTGAAGCAAAGAAAAAGTACAGCAAGTTAAGGCATGGTATCTTTGGAGAAGCAGTTTTTAGACTATTAGCATAACTTCTTAAGCTTTTTTTCAAAATAAGATCATACAGGGCATAATGTCATGTAGAACAAGTGCTGTTGATCTACAGCTCAGAAACAAGCTTTCAGTATGACTTAAAACACTGTGACTGTTGCTGAGACCATAGATGATTGTCTTAGTCCATTTCAGATTCGCTTTATATTCTACGTTTGATATTCTGCTGCTC